TGCATAGCAACGTTGAGGGCCAGGATGGCTGTGTGGAGAGGGGTGAGGCCTGCAGGACGGAGGCGGTGAAGGCTCTGCATCCGGAGTGCCCATCCCACCCCAGCCCCACCTGCCATACCCACCCTGCCCACCACCCAACTTACCCTCAAAGTCTCTGGCTTCTAGGTCAACCTGAACCCCTGAGTTAATCACAGCCTGAGGAGGAGAAGGCACAGTGCTGGATTAGAGTCTCCCCAGGCCTCCTAGCCCTGGAGGCCAGGATCTGAGCAACATCCAGCACTTTGCTGGATGGACGTCCAGCAAAGTCCATCCCATTACCCCACCGGCCAGCTGGCCATACCGAGAGGACTCCTGGAAGCCCATAGGTAGCAGCCACATGCAAGACAGAACGTCCCTGATGATCAGTGGCATTGGGCTCTGCTCCGAGGTTCAGTAGATCCTCCACAATCAGGGGCTGGTTGGCGGCAGCAGCCACCAGGAGAGGGGTCTGCAGGGGATAAGAAGGTCAGTCTGGGCCCCCAGTCTCGTCCCCCCTGAAAACCAACAATCCAGGGCCCCAGACCTTTTCCCTTCAAAGCCAGGAGTCCAGGTCCCTGGCCCTCACCTTGCCCTTATGCTCACGGATGTCCAGATGTTTGTACACTTGGAGCATCTCAGCTGCGGCATATGCTGCCCAGCGCAGCCCCCGAGCCGCAAACAGGTGCAGGAGCCTGAGGACAGGTAGGGGACAAGCAGTGAGCACTGCACCCCAGCGAAGCCAGGAACAGGCAGACTGCAATCCCCTATACTCACGTGTCTCCCTCCTCATCCTGGGCCAGCAGCTGCTGTGGCCCCAAAGCCAGCATGTGAGCACGGGCTGTGTCCAGGGATGGTCCGGTGGCCACAGGGGGCAACTGTGGGGGCCCTAGGGGGAGTCCAGAACCTCTCCAGGATCCTGCCTGTGGCATGGAAGGTTCTGCATAAAGCCGGGTATCCAGGGGGTCCTGAAGGATACATGTGGTGGGCAGAGCCAGTCAGCTGAGGAGTCCTAACATATACCCATACACCGACAGAGTGCCGGGTAGAGTGGCTGGGTGCCCCGTCTGTACCAAGTGACCTTGGACCTTGGGGCCTCAGCTTTGCCCATCTGAAGAATGGGATCTTAATCTAGCATGAGGGCAACTTGGAATTTTAGGGGCCCTTCAGCATCCTCCTGTTCCCACTCTGTATCTCACCTCCATCCCCACAGAAAATGAACACTGCCGCCCTGGGTCGGAGGGCGGGTAGAAGTCAGGAGTCGGGAAGCCTTCCGCAGCAGAAGCAGGGTAAGAGTAGGGGCTGTCTGTGTAGGCAGCATGCGTGTTGGGGTCCCAGTCTGGAAAGCCTGTGCTGGGAGCCAGGCTGCCAAGTCCAGAACCCACAGTCTCCTGGTGTACTGGGAAGCGGGAATGGCCTGTGTGTGAGAGGAGGGGCAGGGGCAGGCCTGGTTACCAGAGTTGGGGAAGTCACAACCAAGGCTGCAGGGCCGGTGTGAGGGCCTGGAATCTCCCCAGGTACTGACAGCTAGTACTTGTGGGACACCAAAGGGCTGGGACTCAAAAGCCAGGACACCAAGGGATTGAGAGCTTGGACTTCTGGTGGCTGGACCCTAGGGACACTGAGGGTTGAGGGCCTAGACCCAGGGAGCAGCAAAAGGCTGGGAGCCTGGGCCCCTGGAACACCCAAGGACTGTGTATACATAGACCCGTGGGCTCCAGAGAATCTGGGAGCTCAAACTGCTACCGGGCCCCAGCAAGAAAGAGGGTCTGACTCCTGCGTTCCCCAAAGTTCTAAGTTATGGAATGTTTGAGTCCCTGAAGAAAGCTGGGGCCGCGAGCTGAGGGAACCATATGAGTTTCCAGACTTACCAGCCTCACTCTCATTCACAGATGCGGTCAGGGGCTGGGCCAGGGGAGGCGGAAACTGTCCCTGTAGGGGGATAAACAAAAAAAAAAGGAACAAGGGGGGATTTATCTGACGGATCCCTCAGCAACCATTCCCCGCCCACAGAGCATCTAAGTCAGGAGGACACCTCTCTCATCTGCTCCGAGGGCCCACAAGCCATCAAGTCTCTGCCCAACAGGACATGGCCTCACGAATTATAGTTTGCGGGGCTTCATGGGCCTTACCGGTACCCCACCAGCGTCCGGCTGCTGCTGACGGCGCCTCTGTTCTTCCAGGAGCTTCTTCACGGTCTGTGATGGGCAGTGGCTGCGTTCACTCCGGCTCACTACGCGGCGGGGGAGGTGGGGGGAAGCAATCAGAGGTCCTTAAGTCCCCCAACTTCGCGGGGGAGTGGATTCAGGCACCCTCCCTCGCCCTCCTGCGCGGAAAAACTGGCACACTGACGCCGCCTGAGAACTCCACAAAGCCAATCTTAGCTTTCAGGTGCAGCTTCCGCCTCCGCCGTTTCCTTCCCTTTGCTCCGCACTTTCCCCTCTGACCCAACTTTCCACCAGCGTCGTGGAAACTGAGGAAGGGGGAGGAGGGCGCTCCTCTGCGGCACCTCCCCCCACCCGACTTCTGAGAAATATCCCAGCCCCCAGATCTCCCAGTTCCCAGGCCTGAGGGGGGGGGGTCGCTGGGAATCACTCCCTAGAGATGCACATCCAGGTTCCCAATATCTCTCTGCCCTAGAAGCTGACCTGACACACATTCCTCGGGAAACCAGGCGTCCGAGTCCCCAGCCCCTCTCCCCAAGGAACCGCGAATCAAGAGCCCCCAAGCTCATCGGGGCTCCGGAAGTCCAGACCCCATCTCCCCTTCAGACCTAAGAGTCCAGGCCCCATTCTGCGGGACTCCGAGAGCCTAGTCCCCCTTTTCCCAGGACCCAGGAGTCCGGGCCCTCAGTCTCGCCCTCCCTTGCACCTGGGAGTCCCAGTTTCCAGAAGCCTGGTCCGCACCACCCCGGAAATCCGGACCCTCAACCCTCACCCTTCTGAGCCCTGGTTCCGGCGGAGGAAGGGTTAAGCGGAGGAGGGAGGGCGAACTCGGAAACAGCCCAGACACGACGTGCTGACGTCACGGCGCTCACGCAAGGGAATCTTCCATCCACCCCTTCCTCTCCCGGCGGCGCGCCGCAGGTGTCCCGCTTAGAGGCGGGGCGCGCGGCCAGGCGTGGAGCTCTCGGAATCCCCGCACGTGGGGAATTCCTGCTCAGCCCGGGAACCCGGGGTGGGTGGGGACTCGGGAATTCCCGGGGCCCGGGCAGGGTCAAGGCCAGCGTGGACCCCTGCGGCCGGGCGCCGGACCTGACCCACACCCGCTCGTGGCCGATTTTTAAGCAACCACGCCCCCAGGACTCCACCTCCCCCTGTCTAGAGCGAGGAGTCCGGGCCGCCAGCCCCCTCCTCCCACAGGACCCAGGGGTCGGGGCTCCCAGCCCTTTCACCCCCGGACCCAGGATTCTGAATCCCCGGTCCCTTACCCTCCCCCCCCCGCCACGACCCAGAAGCCCAGAATCCCAGCCGCTCCTCCATCACCACCCAGAAGTCCTGGCCCCCTGCCCCCTCCAAACACCGAGTACGCTCACTCTCGGCACCCAGGCTTGAAGCTCCAGCCCCGTCCCTCAGGTTCGCAAGAGCCGGACTCCAGCCCTCGCTCTCTCAAGAGGCCGAGCGTGCCTCACCTCGCCACCCCCTCCATTACCTCGCGGATTCCGTGGCGCGGATTGCGGGCCCCCAGGGCCGCGGCCTCGGCGCTGCGCCAGCCTCGCTCTTACCCCGCGGAGCCGCCGCCGGGTCCCCGATCTAGGGTCGGTGCCCCGCGAGTTTTTAAATTGGGGTTCTGGCACCGCCCAGTCAAGGGCAGGGCTCCGCCCACAGGCCCGGGAGTCCCCGAGTCGCGCTTGAACAAGCCCAGTCTCTGAATGGGCGGGGCTGACATTGAGGGTCCGACTCCGGAGCCTTCCTGGAAAGAGGGAGCTGGTGGACCCCATCTTTGGTCTGAGGGATAAGCGGCCGGGGTTAGACACCTGAAGGAGGAGGGCACTGGGGACCCGGACTTCTGGGTCTCGGTCCAAGGGGGTGCCGGAGTCTTTGATTTCTGGGGCCTGGGTTGGGAGGGAACAGTATTACTGAGTCCTGGGGTAGGAGGAGGCTGGGGTTCAGGACTTCCTGGTCCCAGGGAGGGAAGGTCTGTAGGTAAGAGTGACATCGGTGGACTCAAATTCTTTTCTCCCTCTTCCCCACATCACCTTCTTTTTCAGAGGTCAGTTCTCATTTATTCATTCGTCATTAAAAATAATTTATTACTGCAAGGGAGGTACTTTGCTGGGTGCTGTGGTATAGCTGTGAACTAAGCGGACAGGAATTCCCAGCCCTCAAGCGAACTGACATTCCAGGGGAGACTCATTCTCAGTTCCCACGACCGTGGCCATGTTAATCATTTCTCCCAGGCTTTCAAGACTTCTGCTCTCCTGGTTCTCCTCCCTCACATGTTGTGCCTTCCCAGTTTCCCCGGCTGTTTCCGCCTCTTCGCGCGTTCTTGGGGGCCAGGGGCACTCCTCTGTCTGAACTCACTTCCTTGGTGATCTCATCCAGTCCCGTGGCTTTAAATACCATCCATAAGCCATCAACCCAAAAATTTACATCTCCAGACCAGAGACTTATCCCTGAATTCACAGATGCAGCTGTGGTCATTCAGTTCCGCACGGAGATCTATGAGGCACTTCCAACTCAGTGTCCCCAGACCTTGGCACTTTCCTCCTAAACCTGCTCCCCTCCTTCTCCATCTCTGTCAAAAGATGCTCCGTCTTTTCAGTTGGTTAGTCCAGAAGCTTTGGTCATCCTGAATCCCTCTCTCTCATACACACCCATACCTAGTGGATCAGCAAGTTTTGTTGGTTCTACCTCCAAAATCTCTTCAGAATCTCCTCAATGCCCACAACCTGGTCCATCTGTCACCTCCCACCTGGGACAATCATAGCAGCTCCCTGGTCTCTGACCCTACCCTCAGTTCATCCCCAAAGGCAGTCACAGGGACCCACCACTTCTCCCCCTCCCACACCCTCACACAGGAAGCAGGTGACCTTGCCACCAGCAGGGTGACATCCGCTATTGCTGCTTCTTTACTCCCCCACTGTTCCTCAGGACTTCTCTGGACCAAAGCCTTTTGCCAGACCCCGTCTTGCCCCAGCCCACCATGGCCCCTTCAGGTGTCATCCTGCTCCTGCTTTTGCTCCCAGGTGAAGCCAGTGGTTATGGGGGGCGGCAGGCAGAGTCCTTATGAGAGGGGTGGCTTGGGTGGCCTCTGAAGGGAGGAGTGCTAAGGGCACATCCTCCCAGGACCCCTTCCTTCCTGAAGATCTGTTTTGGCTTCAGAGCCTGGTTCTTTGGGGAGAGAAGCTGAGTCTGGGGTAGCTGCCTGTCAACTTCCCCTTCTCACTGCTAGGTCTGTCTCTACTTCTACTTCTGATTTTCTCTCTGGCCTCTTTCTCATTTGCTCTCTCCAGAATGGAGGTTACTTCTCAGGACAGCACCTCCCCCTGCTAATCCTCTTTCCCTCTCTTTTCACAGTGGCTGCAGCTGGGGTGACCCCAGGTGAGAAATCAGCACCCCTTCCCTTTTGCCGTGGTACTGCTTCTATCCCTGAAGTGTGGCCTGAGGGTCCTGGAATGCCCCTGGTGGCTCTCTAGGTCACCAGCTCACCTCTCACCCCCAAATCAGAGCCCCCAGGGAAACTGCAGTCCTCTCTGGGTCCCCAGCTCACTGCCTTCATCACCAAATTGAAGCCCCAGGGACTCGGCCACCCCCCAGACTTCTTTGGGAGTACTCACTATGCCCAAAGCACCACATATGTCTCTCTATGCTGGGACTCCCCCCCCCACCGCCACCGCCCGCCCACCTGCCCCCCCCCAACCCCGGGCTTCTCTCCAGACCCCCACCTCCCTTTTCATCCCCCAAGTCAACCTCAGGGAATCTCAGACACTCCTGCCTCCCTCCAGGGACTTCCTCGGGCCCCATAGTCCCCAAGTGCAGCCCTCAGGGTTTGGAACCTCCCTCAAGCGCCTTCTTGTCTCTGCCACACCCTCCAGGTTCCTGTTCCGGATGTGGGCCCCTCTCTCTGCCAATGCTGGCCTGGCTCATGGCCGCTGACGCGGTGGTGTCTCTGCTCATCATTGCGGTGGTGTTTGTGTGTGCCTGCCCACACCACAGGCCCACCCTAGGTGAGGGCAGACACAGGGTGGGGCCCGGAGGGAGAGGTGCCCCTAGAGAGGGGGTCCCCAAGGGAGGGGTCCCCCAGGGAAGCCCTGGAGGAGATGCTGGGGAAACCCTGGAGGCGGTGCAGGGGGGAACTCCGGAGGAAACCCCTGAGGCAGGGGGTCCCCAGGAAGGTGGAGATGTGGGTGGGTGGTAGGTGGTCAGGCCTCATGCTTTCTCTCCCCCACCCCCAGAAGATGACAAAGTCTACATCAACATGCCTGGCAGGGGCTGACCCCCTTGTGAGGCCTTTGACTTCTGACCCTCTCATCCCGCATTGCGTGCGGCCACACAGGAAACGCACTCCCCACTTTGGGGTGGAATAAAGCAATTAAACTACCTCTGGTTCTGATTCTTCTTCAGAGAAACCCCAGGGTCCCCAAACCTCCTTCCCATTTAGCTTTTTCTGCGTCCATGACCCCCCAGAACCCCACATATCCCTGGCCCCTCAGCCGAGAGATCTAGAATAACTCAAAGTGTTTTTGTGTGCCATGTTTATTTGGGGACAGTAGTGGAGAGAAGTCTGACCCCTCAGGGAGGGCACTCTGTGGATCTGTATCTTGGTGGGAGTAGGAATAGGGTGCTAGGGAGGCATCAGGAATGACTGGATCCAGGCATCAGGTTGCTGACTGCTGTGGTTTGGGCTCATTTGTAATAAGGCCTCTGTGTTTTGAGGTCACTATAGACATCTGACCTCTGACCTTGAAGCTCCTAGTAGGAGGGACAGGGTGGGAACCATTAGTGGGTGAGGTCCACTGAATAAACTTATAACAAAATTCAGCCTTCTCCCAGTGGCCTAGCAGCTTCTTCAACCTTGCAGCCATGGAAAAGATCTGGATCTTAATCGAGTGCATCTAGTGTTTCCCTGTCTCCTCTGCCTCATCATTTCGCCCCAGCCTCAAGGCTTTTGCACAAGCTGTCCTCCCTGCCTGGAACACGGGTTTCCTAGATATTCCCAGGGATGGTTCCTTCTCCCCCTTCAAGTCTCAGCTCATGTCACTTCCTCAGAGAAGCATTTCTTGATTTTGCCATCTAACATCTCCCCACCACACACACTCCAGTCATGGTCACACCAGTTTTATTTCCCCATGATACCTTCCCAAATTATCTTATCTCTTAATTGGCTTCAAGTCCATCTCCCCAACTGGGATGTAAACTCTCTTGCTATGTACGTGCTTAACAAATTCCACTGAAGGATGAATAAATTAGAATATTGCTTTGCCCTAAAATTTCACTACCCCCGGTAACCGAAAATTCCCTCATTCTTCTGGACCTCACAAAACCAAACTCGAGTTGCTTACGCTTTACCAAGAGACTTTTTATCCACAAGTGAGGCAAAGCAAACCTGGCTGCAGATAAGTAAGAGACTTCACAGAACAAGGCTTACAATTTTGGGGGGTGGGGTCTATGGCCTCAAGAGGCCCTCAGACTGAATCCCTGAAATCATAAGTAAATGATTGGTCTGGGTATGCACCTTTATGGGAAGAGGTCTGTTTGGCTTCCATTAGATTCTCACAGGAGCCCATGACCCCCTAAAGGACACTGATAGAGAGGCAAGCAATGGAAAGATGCCTCTGTCTGAGGAGTGGCTCTTTTTTTTTTTTTTTTAAGAGAGAGAGCGCGCACGCATGCGCACGTGGAGGGGGAATCTTTTTTTGTTCTACATTTATTTATTTGAGAGAGAGAGAGAACGAGTGGGAGGGGAGGGGCAGAGGGAGAGGGAGAGAGAGAATCCCAAGCCAACTCCCCACTGAGCACGAAACCAGACGGGACTCGATCCCACAACCCTGAGATCATGACCTGAGCCAAAATCAAGAGTCAGATGCTTAACTGACTGAGCCACCCAGGCGCCCCTGCATGGTGGTTCTTAAGCAGGGTTTCAAGATACCTGTGCCACCCCTAGATTATATGCACAATTTTGTAAATTTTTATGTGGATTTTTCTGACGAGTCTCTAGCTTCCATCAGCTTCTCAAAGGGATGTAGGATCTTCCAAAAAATTCTAAAACTCATCTCTTCAGAATTACCAAATTAGAGCTGAATTATGTCCTCTGCCCTTCTGAGAGCTTCTCCCAGAAATCATCTTGTCCTGAACAATTCCGTGCCTGCCTTCTCACTATGGCCTACATTTGCTCTTGTGAAGGTAAAGCCCTCCATATGTTTTCTCACACATTTTTAAGCTGAGCATAAGGTCATGATTTATCATTGAAGGCAGTTTTGGACAGATGCCCCATGAGTCCTTGAGGGTTTGAAATGTTGCTGAGAAAGTGGCTTTAGGGTCTAGGTTCTAGAAGGACTGGGAAAATGTTTAGGACAGACACCCACAGGATGAGAGTGAGATGTGAGGAAGAGAAGCTGGTTTTCTCACCTGATAAGGCGACTCTGTCTCGGTGATGCGTGGTTTCCTGGTCACTGCTGGGGGATGGGGAGTAGTGCAGAGTGCAGAGATAGTTAAGGTGGTGAATTGAGACCATTTTGCTGCTGCAAAATCAGCCCCTCCATCATTGTCCCTTTGGATGGTTGTGACTTGGGAACTTACCCCTCCCTCAGAGGGTCCCAGGCTATCCCCTGCCAGCCTCACTCACCCTCCACAGCCCCTCGCCCCCGAGGGAACAGCCGGCCCAGGGAGTACACAGCCAAGGCGATGAGGAGGGTCAGCACCAGGTCCCCCAGCACGATCCCTGCCAGTACCCCGGGACTTACCACGGAGCAGTTGCATTCTGAGAATGTGGCACAGGGGTTGGGGGTGGTCAGTGGAAGTTGGGAACTGGCAGGAGGTGTCAGCAGGGGAAGGTTTGGAGAGACTGGGGAACAGACAGAGATGGGGAGGTCTTCAGGAGGTAGGGAGGGGGACTTCAGAGTCCAGGCCTACCTTTCTGTGCCTGGACAGGACTGAAACCTGAGGGGAGAAAAAGAAGGTAAATTGAGGCATGGGGCTGTGACTGGAGGGTGGGCACAGAAGCTGGGGAGGGTGGGTCCTGATAGCTAGGAGATAAGAGTGGAAAGCGATGTCTGGTGGGACCTGTGGGCCAGCATCAAGGTCACTGGACTAAGTTACTTCTACCCCGACTTGTCCTGTTGCAACATCTGTAGAGTCCCCTCCCCCTGCTGATGCCAGAGGCCACATCTTGGGGTCTCAGGCTCTGGGAGACAGCCATAAGTTTGGGGGGACTAGGGATCTGCTTTCACCCACCTCCCTTTTGGTTCTCTTTCTACTCCGCTCCCTGCTCTGCCCCAAGCTGAGCCCAGGGACTCAAGAGGCAGCTCTAGAAGCCCCCAACTCACCACCCACAGTCAGAAGGAGAGGCAGGAACAGGAGCCTGTTGGAAGGTCCAAGGACCCCCATGACGCAGGCGACCCTGCTGGACACTGGAGTCCAAGGGCCGGTGGGATGTGGTGTAGCGTCCAACCAAGTGAAGGAGGAAGTCCGAGGTGGGCGGTGGCAGGAGGGAGGAGGAGACAATACAGGAGGAGGGACGGAGACAGATAATGCCAGGAAGAATCAGGCCAAGACGCCCCATGCTGTAGCCCCTAACCACTGGACATAAGAGGGAACAGGGTACATGTGCCCATCCAGCCCCGATCAGGGGTCAGCCCTCGCTGTACCAGGAAGAGTCAGTGGCTATTACTGAAGCGAGTTTTGCCTCTTCCTGGCTGGGCAAACTTAAACAAGTCATTCAATCTCGCTGGGCTTCAGTTTCCTTATCTGTAAAACGAGGAGTAAAATAGTGCCTATTTTGTAGGGGCTTGTGGGGAGCAAATGGATTAATGTCTCTAGAACAGGGTCCAACACTCGTCAGCTTTTTATAAGCACCAGCTACAATTATTTGATAATCAGAACTTTGTGATGTTTATAGGATAGTAAAAGAGAGCCATCAGGCTATGGGCACTAATGAGCGGCAGGCATTCAGTCCTAAGATGTTAACTCTTTTAACCCCCACAACACCCATCTGAGGTAGATGCTCTCGTCATCCCCATTGTACAGAAAGATACAGACACTCGTGCAAGGTCACACAGCAAATAAAGCTGATAAGGAAACACAGGACCCAAGGACAGATATTTGACCCTTAGAGAGAAAGAAAAAAGAACGAAGATGAAAGATAGGGAAGGAGAAAGGGGTGGCGAGGCCAAGAAAAAAGAGAAAGGGATAGACAGTGACACAGACATGCACAGCACAGACACAGGACTGGGGGTTTGGGGTGAGGCGAGTGGGGGACGACGTGCTGACCACTGGGCTGGGCTGTGCTGCACCACCAAATGAGGAAGTAGCTGGAAGTGAGGACGGAGGGAAGGCACCCAGGAGGAGACAGGGACTTCTAGTCCCCCCCACCAGAGCCTGAGCTGGGGCTAGTTAGGAGGAACCTGAGGTTAGGGCACTGGGGGGATGGGCCTGTGGCAGGAAGCCCCCTTCCCCCATCCAGGCGTCACACCCCACAGCTCCCTGGGCCTGGTCTCAGGAGAGAAAAGGGGAAACTGGATGCTGGTCATGGGACAGACTCTGAGTGGCCCTTCGTGGTGGGGGGATTTGGAAGCCAGAGGAGGGTCAGGGCCCAGTCGGAGGTAGCACTGGCTGCCAACAGCCGCATCACCCAGACCTGGCCCAGTCCAGTTGCTAAAGAACCAACCGCCAACCCCCCCCCCCACCACCACCACCAGGCCTGCAGTGAGTGCGGAGAGAACAGGCCCCGGAGGGCCTCAAGGTGGTTGAAGCTGAGTGAGCCACGGGGCAGTCAGAGAGCAGAGGAAGCTCTGAGCCTGGAGGGTCTTGATCTGACTCCGGTGCTGGTGCTCGTGGGCTCCCTCTGGCCAGGCTGGGGGTGCACACTGTGGGGGGCAGGGCTTCTGGGGTCCAGTTTTATTGGGAGGGTTTTGTGAGGTCTGTCAGAGTAATGTCTGCCTGGCACGTTGTAGCTGCTCAGTGAATCTTTTTTTTTTTTTAAGATTGTATTTATTTATTTCACAGAGAGAGACACAAGCAGGGAGAGTGGGAGAGGGAGAAGTAGGCCTCCCACGGAGCAGGGAGCCCAATGTGGGGCTCGATCCCAGGACCCTGGGATCATGACCTGAGCTGAAGGCAGATGCCTAATGACTGAGTCACCCAGGCGCCCCTGCTCAGTGAATCTTAATCACCATCCTCCTCATTACTGTTATTGTTATTAGCACTTCAAGTCTCCAGTTCTGGGCTCGCCTTGATAAACATCTTCCCTCAACCCCTCAGACTCAGCCCCCTGGTCTGATCCTCCTGACTCCAGCCAGGCCCAAGCTGTCCCCAGAATTCGGTCTCATAGCCAGCACACTCGTGCACCAACCAATCAAGCAGCTGTGGCCGTAGGGCCCTGTCTGAGTCCTGGAGCCCCCCTTTTAGTGGCTGAGATGTGGGGAAGTCCGAGGTATCCCAAGGGAACAGACTGGGGTGCTGGCAGATATCTGTGGGAGGTGGGGTAGGGGCTCTTTACCAACCAAAGATGAAGTATTTAAATATTTTAGCAACTGGTATGACTGTACTGGTACAGACCACAGAATGCTGGTCTGGGCTGGTTGGCCTGGGCTCTCCATGGGTGGATGGGTCGCTGGGTGAAAGAAGGCTGAGATGGAGCGCACCCAACTGACTGGGAGCCACCCCACACCCAGGACCAGACTCCAGGAAGTAGGGCTGCTTCACCTCCCATGAGATCTGTAAAGTGTCTCAATCTCTCCTGGCAAGCAGCCCAAGAGTTGGGCAAGACCCAAGGCTGACTTCGCCAGAAAGCAGGCAATGTGTTGAGCCTGTGACAAGCTTGTCTCTGTGGAAGCTACAGCCCCTCCTTACTCCCCCTGCTTCTACTTTTGCCCCCTACAGCCCATCCTCCCCACAGTGGCCAGAAGAAGCTTTTGGAAAAGTCAGAGAACCAATCTTGTAAGTGGCCAAAAAATGTGAACAGGTAACGTCACAAAAGAAGAGACACGAATGGCCAATAAGCATGCAAAAGCGTTCGACATCATTAGTCATTACAGAAATACAAATTAAAACCACAATGAAATACCACTACACACCCACTGGAATGACTAAAATTAAAAAGACTGACCCTCTCAAGTGTCAGCAGAGATGTGGAGCAATTGGAAATCTCACACCGCTAGTGGAAATGAAGAATAGAACCACCACTTTGGAAAAGAGTTTGGTAGTTTCTTATGAAGGTAAATAGTCACCTATGCAGAGGTCCAGCAATTCCATAGAAGCAGGCATCTACCCAAGCGAAATAAAAGCATATATTTACATAAAGACCTGCCCATCTTTCTGTCCTCCCCTCCTATCCCCTCTTTCCTTCGCTTCTGCTACTCCAGCTACACTGGCCTTCTTGTTGTTTCTTGCTTAAGTCAAGTTCATTCTCACCCCAGGGCTTTTGCACCTGCTGTTCCCCTTGCCTATGATGCTTTTCTCAAAGTTCGTGTGGAGCTGGCCCCTTCTCACCCTCCAGATCTCAGCTTAAATGTCACACCCTCACAGAGGCCTCTCCTGACCACCACCGCTCAAGTCACCTCCCACCACCAATTTCATTTTCTTCCTGTATTTATCATACCTGAAATTCTCTGAAATTGCGTGTTCCCATTTTTACTGTCTGCTACTTCCTCTAGAATGGAGAATAGGAACCTTCCTGGCTCATTCGCTGTTATATCCCCAGCACATATAGTAGATGCTCAGTAAATACTCTCACTATTGCACTAAATGGCCACCAGTAACGGGTTGGTTGAAACATGGCTCTTGATCTTTGCAGAGGCCTAAGGGTATCCCAGACATGCCCACTATTTCTTCTTGAATTAATCACTTGGCAGATAAGAATGCTAGTGTCCTCCAACATCCTCCTGCTCCTTCTTCCAGGAAATTTTTAGCAGGGCATCTGCCCATCAACCTAAAGACTGTATTTTCTGGCCTCATTTGCATGTAGAGTGGCCATAGAACTTTGTGGGATGGGCAGTGTGGGAAGGAAATGAGCAATTTAGAAGTCTTAGCCTCTGTGCAGGGATGCACTCTACTCCTCTTCTGATTTTCTCACTCGCTGGAATTTGAATGTGGGGATCTTGGAACAGTGGATGAGGGCAACAACATCAAAATGAAAGAACGAGAAGACAGAAGCCTCAGTGCCCATCATCTTGGAGGAGCCACACCAACCCTAGACTGTTAGGTGACAGAGAGACACCTGCCTTGTTTAAAGACACTCATGGTAGGTAGTCTCCAAATTGGGGGTTTGGTCACCAAGAATTTCTTCCTCCCAATATGCATCCCTCTCATCAAGAGGCAGAGAGTCCATTTTCCCTGCCCTTGCATCGGAGCTGACCTTGTGACTTGCTTTAACAAAGAACGTGGTGGAAGGGATGTTTAGAACTGCGCCAGTTCTGATCATAGGTCTTTTTTTTTTTTTAAAGATTTTATTTATTTATTTGACAGAGAGAGACACAGCGAGAGCGGGAACACAAGCAGGGGGAGTGGGACATGGAGAAGCGGGTCTCCTGCTGAGCAGGGAGCCCGATGTGGGACTCGATCCCAGGACCCTGGGATCAGGACCTGAGCCGAAGGCAGACGCTTAACGACTGAGCCACCCAGGCGCCCCTGATCATAGGTCTTAAGAAGCCTTGTAGCTTCTAGTTTTACTCTCTTGAAATCTAGCTGCCATGCTGTAAGGAACTCCGAGCTCCCTTCCTGGACAGTGAGGCCATACGAAGAGGCCCTGGAGGATGAGATAGCATGTGGGAAAAGGCCATGTGGAGAAAAACCGAGGCACCCCAGCCAATAGCAAGTGCCAAGGCCCCAGGCAGGTCAGAGAAGTCATCTGGATCTTTCATGCCATGCCAGCCACCAGCCAAATGCAGCCACTTGAATGACCCCAGGTAACACCATGTGGAGCAGAGGAACCATCCAGTCAGGTCAAAGAATGATGAGAAATAATAAGTGGTTGTTGTTTTAAGCCACTGTGTTTTTGGATTGTCTGTTACAAAGCAATAGACAATGATAGATTGATTTTTTTTTAATTTTTAAAAAGATTTTATTTATTTATTCGAGAGAGAGAGAAAGCACGAGAAGGGGGAGGGGGAGAGGCAGGGGGGAGAAACAGAATCCCCGCTGAGCAAGGAGCCCGACGCAGGGCTCAATCCCAGGACCCCGAGATCATGACCTGAGCTGAAATCAAGAGTCAGTCGCTTAACCGACTGAGCCACCCAGCACAGCAAAGCAATAGACAATGGAAACAGCACTGTTATTTTGGGGACTTTGTTACTACAGCCAAATCTATGTTCTACTGGACATAGTTTCAAATGCCCAGCTTGAACTAGCTGAGATTAGAGGATGAAGTTTGTGAAGATTTGGAGGTTAGTGCCCATGTGCTCTAAGGGAAAGCTGAGCGCCTGACCATCAGAGGAAAGGGGATGATGAAACTTTGGACAGATCCAGACTGACTCGGAGACTCTCCATCACTTGCTTTCTCTTCTCTCTGGACAGGCTTTGTTCAGCCCTCTCTGTTCCTTGTGGTACTGCAGAGTTTCTGCCATCAATAGCTCACTCTTGCTGAGTCCATGATTTAAAAAAGCAAAGAGGGACGCCTGAGTGGTTCAGTCTGTTAAGTGTCTGACTCGGCTCAGGTCATGATCTCGGGGTCCTGGGATGGAGCCCTGGGGCAGGCTCAGCTCCCCGCTCAGTGGGGAGTCTGCTTCCCCCTTCCCTCTGGCCCCCCACCCCCTGCTCGTGCTCTCTCTCTCAAATAAATAAATAAATACAATCTTTAAAAAAAATGAAAAGAATCCTGGGAAAGGGCTAAGATTGGCTACAAATTCCCTGCCCCTCTCCCCACAAACCATGTGGCTGGGGTGGGAGGCAAAGTCTATAAGAAAATGGCAGGATCCATAAGAACTCTGGTTTGGAGAAGGGAGGAGGAACAGTCCCTAAGCAGCGTCCCTAAGCAGGGGATGCCATTGGCGCCTCAACCATAGTCCCTCAGCATGTGCCATTTCTGGGCACGCCACCTGGCTTACAACTGCCTGCACTGTGACTGTCTTAGGGCTTTTTCTGCAAGTTGGAGCTACCTACACCCACCTCCTAACTCTGGTCATCAAACCACTTGACCCAGATGTAGCAGTCACGGTTCTTTGTTGCATACAGTAGAAGCCACTAACTAGTTTAAATAGCAAAGGGGATGTGTTCAAGGATGTTAGGGAGACCACCGAATCTCTAGGAGGGCCAGAGATCAGTCCTGGGGCTTACCAAGTCCTAATACCACCCAGGATTTTCAGCCGCTATTCACACTGCGGAATTGATTTTCCAGGTTGCCTCCTTCTTCTTCTCACTCTT